CGGTTTGGATTATCAAGTCCACATAAACAACAACTTATCAGATATCTGTATTGTAAAAGAATCACTTGTAGTACTGAGGAATATCACTAGAGACACATATTTCATGTGCTTTATGATTCATTGTTTTTCAGCTGTCAATTTGAAACAAAACCTTAAGTATTTTGAATCGTTTCTTCACCAAAGCTGCAAAAGCTTTGGGGAATTCTTTGGTTGGAAATTCTGATGCGGGTATATATTATTTTTAGGGATAGTTAAATAGAATTCTCATGCATTGGGTAAATAGAACCAGTGCATGATTGATGGCTACATAATCCCCTGCAATTCTCTCTGAGCACCTCGCAGTGTTCTGTTAATTATCTCACCACTCATTAGAAAATCAGGGTAGTTCTTCTGTATCACTTAAGGCTGCTGCTATGTGGTGTAGGGAAACCTGCCCATGGTTGCTCAAGATGTCTGGATCAGAAACCCCAGTGTCAGTCACTTATGTTCTTGATTATCCCCCTAATCAAGTTTTCCTAACAGGGAAATACAAAATTTCCAGACTAAGTCCTCCCTTCTGTTCTATGGCTTGACACACCCCCCCACATTATCCAGCTGTCACCCCTGCATATCAGTGTGTAGTCACACCGCTTGTGGATCCTGCTCCTGCACTTCCAGCCTCTCTTGTACCCTGCACTGCCTTCCACTGCCAAGAAATGCTTGTCCCTTCAGCAGCTTTGCACCCTCCTCCCAAAGATCCTCAGTGCAGCATGGTGGGGACGTGCAGAGTTAAATAACCAGTTCTGTGTGTTCCTGGGAGCCAGATTTGCTTAGAGTACTCAGTCACCAGGGCTGCCAGAGCTGGCTCCAAGCTCCCCTAGTCACTGAGCCTCTTGCTTATGCAATATCACAAAGAGTCATCATTCCCACAGAAATGTGACTCTGAGGGTGTATTTTGATGTTCTGACTGTCCTGACCATCCTGAGCACCCCCTGGGCAAATTGCTGGTGCCATGTGGCAGGGGCAGCTGCTGCTCTGTGGTTTCCCAACACTCAGAAAGGAGAAGTGGGGAAAGGGAAGAAAGAAGTGAAGGAAGGAGCAAATCAGCTGCTGCCAAACCCATGTGTTGAAGCATCCTGTGGCATAACCCACCTGGCTACTCCACCATGCACACTGCAGCAGGATTGTGTGGTGAGAATGCTGCAGAGAAGAGGAGAGCACTGGTGGGCCAGAGGGGAGGGGAAGAGGAACAGGAAACTAGGAATGGAAATTAGGGGAGAGGCAAAATCAAGTGGGAAATGTTTCGTTGCTGTGATCCGTGGTCTTATTCAGTCCTCCTCATAAAATCCCTATCCCAATTTGAGAACTCTTTCTGCATTGGGGGATGAAAAGCAAGACTGGCACCATGAAGATAAGGACCAAGGCGGGCAGAGGCAACTGGGTTCTTGATAGTGAGTCACTGTTGTATGGGCAAGGCCAGCATTTTGTCTGGGGAAAGAATTTTTACTTCAGAGTAGGGGGCAAAGAAGAACTGGTTTTGTTGCTGGATCTTGAAAAAACATGCAGAGCTAGGAAAATAATTAGAGAGACCAACATTAATTACTCCACACTTGGTTATGTTACTGCTAGAAATCTCTGCGGCACAATTGAAACAAAAGTGTTAGAGGGAGGGGTAGGGCCCAGGATGCTGTGGCTAGTAATAAGACTTTTACTAATTGTTTGCTTCTGACTTTCGGTTCTGGGCTTTTTTTTTTGCTGGATCCCATAAAAGCTGCATGGTTTCTAGTTACAAATTCAGACAGTAAATTGTGGAAATATATGTGGGTCAATAGGCAATCCGCTGTCTCAGTCCTAACAGTAAGCATATTCTGGATAGTTTGTATCTAAGATGGTTGTAGGCTGTCTCTCTAGGATCCTGCAATCTCTTTATTTTTTTAATTCCTACTATCCTGGATTTAGAGTTCTCTCTTCAATGCTGTGCTTAACTTAGGCTTGTGACATTATTGACACCACCCACATTAAGAAATCCAGGGCCATTTGCTGCATTTGCTACTGCTTTCAGCCTTAGCTGGGCTTTGCATACCACCTTCTGCTTCAGCCAGTTCTAGCCCCACTTTTATAGCTCATTAAGTCCAACCCTGTCAGTGCTGGTTGTTTCAACACCAGTCTGCATCTTATCCATTTCAGGCATCTCTCTGGGTGCCTGCCCTCATCATAGAGCTCCAGGTATTGTAAAATTCAGTGATAAAGCAATCTTTTCATCTCTTGTTGTGCCCAACTCTAACTGTACAGTAAGGTACAGCACAGCAAGCTTGTTTCTGCCAGAACTCAGCACTCATTCACCTTTTTTTTGCTTAGTCTTCATCCTACTGTAACTGTGCAGGTCTGGTAATGAAATCAGGTCTGTCCTGGACACAAACTCTAACCTCAAGGTGTGACTGTACCCTGATTATATTTAGAAGGAGAATAGCAGAGTTAGCAGAGCTATATGCTTTGAAGTATGCATTTTGTATCATTGTTTATGCTGCAAGCTACACAGAGACACTCTGCTATGATACCTTAACCCTGTGCCACAAAGGTGAAGGCAGTTCACTGCTGGATCCCACAAGCCCTGCAGTGCTAGCAGGAAAGTTCAGTCTGATGAGTGAGAATCACTTAAGGCATGTTTTAAAATATAACATTTAAAAATCTTAGGTTAAAGAAAGGACTTGGTAAAGTTTCTCATGAAGATGTGTGCTTGTACTAGGTCTTTTTAGAGTCACAGCCCCTCTAGGTACTGACAGGGGATGTTTCCTTGTTGTGGGTAGATGCTGTAGGGCCATGATTAAATTATGGCTAATTTATATTGTCTAAAAGAAGACTGAAGAATTGAGATTGCTACTGAATGCTGTGTCACTGTTCTTGTAGGAGGAATTGGGGTGGACAACAACTTGAAGAGTTTTGTGACAACCATGGGATACGTGGGCTTTGGGTTGGGTCTGGGCTTAGGTTTAGGATGACTCCAACAGGGGCAGCTTCATAGTTAGATAGATAAAGCTCTTGGAGATAAATTGAAGACCAGAACCATTAACATTTAAAGAACAAATATGTGCTGGTTTTACTTCTGCTTTTCTGAGATGCAGGGAGTCTTTATTGGGGATTAGGATAAGGATTTTGGACAGCCAGAGCTAGACGTATTTCTGAATCTTTCAAAATACTGCAAGGATGTGGTCTTTTGCTAGTCATGAGAAAAGTCTTCTGATTAGTGCTGGGGCAGGTATAAGTCACTGGGATAAGGTTCAAGGTTAGTGTATGCCTAAACGCAGCTTTATTCTCCCTTCATTTGCCTGTGGACAACAGCACATGCACTTCCTGTTTGTGACTTTTCTAAAAATGAGTCTGAGCAGGAACAAGTCAGGTTTGAAGGGTCTTCAGGTTCTGAGGAAACTGGGGTCTCTCTTTGAACTATGTGATTCTGCTCCTGTTCATCTGGAATTTGGAAACGTTAATTATGGAATGGGAAAATGTCTAGAATGCAGTCCTCTGCTTAAATGCTTGATTTTGACTTTTAAAGAGTAAGTGTTACAGCAGAGCTGTATCTGTCTTTCCTGGTGCCTGCTTAAGCTGTGCTTATTTAGTTAGAAAACAGCTTAATTGCTCAGGGTGAAGAGTTAAAGTTTATTTTTGTGCTGCTCTGTTTTTAGCTGCAGATTGACATAACTGGCTAGTAGTGGAAGCCTCTTTGTATGAAACATCCCTTATCGTATTTGTCCCTCGAGCATATTCTGTGCCAAATTATCACTCCTAATAGGCTGGTTGACTTTCTGGACAGAGGAAACATCTTGATAAGTTTGCTAAATATGTTATGTCAGAGAAAGTGCATCGCAGATATTTTATCATCTGCATAAAGACACACTTGGTTCAGCTCTGAAGTGCCCAATTCCCTAAGCTCACCTGTTGAGCTGACTGTTATTCTCAGCATCTGATTATCCAACTGTGTGCACTTGGCTGCCATTTTTTTCAGAGACACTTACGCAGTGGCGTTTTGCAATGACGTCAATTCCTTTCCTGTCTGACCTAGAAGACTTCGGTGACTCAATGTTGGCTAAGCAGCCCTAAAGATTAAATCGAGGACACTAGCTTAATTACTTTAACAGTTCTTTTAAAGGATTTCCCAAGAATGAGAATCATGACAAATTGTAGCTTAGGGGATTTTAGTAATTCCTGAAACTGAAGCTAATGATGCAACCCAAGATATGCCCTGCATTCCTGTTGATGTGTTGAGGAAATTTAAAAGAATAAACAGCACTGGGAAGACTTTTGTGATACAAATCCTAAATGCATGAATTTGTGAAATAAATCCTACTAGCCCAGACCTTACCTAGGTAAGATTGCAGGATTTGGGCATAGTGTTTGGAAAATATATACACAACTTTTTCCTATGTCTAGTTATAGCAAATTATGAAAAATTAAAAATAATTGTCACTGTTAAATGTTTACACTTGTCATTTAAAATTATCTTCAGGTCTTATTTTCATTTGCAGAACTTGGCCATGAAAATTCAAAGGTTTTGTATTTGCAGTTGTTACTAAAATGAGTGCCTCTGCTTCTCCCCTTGCTAATAAGCACAAGCCAGATTCTGATTTTTGCTACTACTGCTTAAATGAGAAGTGAATCCTGTGACTTTCACCTTAGCTCTCAAGTATTTACTTTTTAAAATTCTTTATTTTGCTTTTAAAAAATACTTTGCATTTATACTGAGCAGAAATACTGTGGGGTTTTTAGATTCTCACACTAAGACATTCTCTACTGGTGCCATCAAGAAATCAAGAAAAGAAAGAGTCAAAACTTTGTCTTATTTACAGTGAGGTATTTCCAAAATAGCTTTATTACACTTGGTGAATTTACTCTACATTCATAATGGAGCAAATTTGAGAGCTTATTAGCAATTTATTTATCATTATGATTGGAAACTGTACTCTATCACAAATTTGATGTTTGCTAATCCTGCATAGTTTCTCACTATTTGTAACTTGCTCCAGCTTGCAGCATCAGAACTGCAGGAGGAAGAGCATCTACTTTTGGAGACATGGAGAGAAAGGAGGCTGACTAAGTATGAAGGAATTCTGGGGACTTTTATGCAATGCTTGAGACTTGCTCATCATCTCAGAAAAACCTTCTCCTTCTGTAGCAAACTGACTGGAACTGAATTGTTCTTCCCATAGAAGTGCTTTGGGGGAAAAGCTAAGGTAAGTTCCTTAAAATACTTTTCCAAAGGTAAATTAAGAGTGAGAATAATTAATGGTGATTAAAACATAGTGTTGCTGAAGGTAGTAAGTCCTCAAATCCAGGGAACTCAGAGCACAACAAACTGAAAAAGGATACCATATCCTTGAAGCTGAGGTAGCAAGATCCTCATTCACAATCTGGGGGTGGAGGAGATATCTGTGAAAGATTTTTAGATTTCTGTGGTTGCTTTTAAAGTAAAACTTTTAAGATGTTTGGCCTTTTACTATATATAGGTATTATCTCTGCTATTTAAAGTATAGTTTCCTAAGACAGGGAGTGACAAACTGAAAGTAGAACACTGGATGGGAACGCCTTGCCATTAGCTGCATGGCCTGTCCATAAAAAGGTAAAGGAAAACCAAGAGTTTTGGACTCTTTTGCTAAATTTAGTCATTTGAAAGTATCCATTATTGAATTTATGATAACAAATCAGATACCCAAATTATTTACAATGGCTATAAAACCTAAATAGGTATGTTTTAGCTTGGTATCAACCTACCTCTCAAAAGGTACTGTCTGAAGAAAAGGCGTTTTTCACAATGTGTTAACTTGAAAAGTAGCCCCCCAAAACTAAAAAGAGAATGGCCTCTCCTCCCTTAGATGGGGTGCTCTGGTTTGACCAGGTATTTTAAGAATATCCTCAGAAAACCCTAGAGTACTACAAAACCCAGCCTATTTACCTTTGATAAGAGTAACAAGAAATGCAAAGAAAATTGTTTGCTCTAGGGGAGAGGCAGAGCTGGATGATCTGAAGAGTTTTATGGCCAGCTGTGTGTACGGAGCATCCTGAATTCCACAGTAGCCCCATTTGACAAGGACAGAGATTTCTCCTTTCCCAGCAGTGACTGCCATACTCCTGCTGCCTATAGCTTCTTTCATCCACAGCAACCACATTCGGCTCCCTCAGTAACATTTTTAGGAAGTGTATTATTAAAAGAATGTGATGATCCCATTAATTCCATTATGTCCAGGCATCTTGGATTTTTTATTGTTTGAGCGGGGGGTTTGTAGTTAAATAGCCTACTTTGAAATAAGTGAGTATATTAGGGCATGAAATAAGTGCTAAGCTTGGGTTTAACCCGCTTATGTTCAAAGCGATGGTGGGGGTGGAATTTCATAGATGCTGTCCTGAGACTCAAAGGAGTTGCCCTGGACTTCTGTGGGAACAGACGCAGAGGAAAAGAGCACTTTTGAATGGTTTGGTATCCCGGGAGCACACTAAAGTATAAAAACAAGCTCTGAGGAAATTGCTGTGTCCTGAAACGCAGGCATTATTTCAAAGCAAGTAACATGAAAGAGTCACAAGGAGATGGCTGAGTGCTAAGTCATGGAGGTAACATGCACATGTCATCTTGGGGGAAAACAGATTCTGTCAGAAAAGATCCTTGCCTTTCTTTCTGTCTTGTCATAGAGATGTGAGATATAAACAAAGAGTAATCAAAAGGGACTTAAATCAGGAATAAACTGATATATGACTCTTCATGAAATATTCCTATCTTCACAGCTATTGTGCTCTTTATCTAATTTCCCTGGCTATCTGATCAGAGCTGTTTATTTCACTGTTGAATTATTGCTAAAGTCTGAGAGGGCGCTGCTTTAAACAATGGAGCTGGTCAACAGTGTTAGCAATTCATTTCCATAGTATCTAGTTCTGTTTGGGGCTGCAAAGGCTGGGTTTGCCCTTGGAGCTTTCTCTCATCCCAGAAAACTTTGTGGATGTGACCAGAAGAGCATCAGAGTTTAGTGAAAGCAAGATATATGCATTAGGGGTTTTTTGTGTGATAAGTGCACTTAATGTTGCTTTAGAATATGTATTTGCTGCTGGTGGCTGTTAAATTTGAATTATAAGGCTAGGTGGCTGTTAAATTTGAATTATAAGGCTACTTGGGTCCTGATATAGTTGAAGGTGTCCCTGCCCATGGCAAGGGGATTTGACAGGTTTTCTCCAAAGGTTCTTTCTAACCCAAACTGTGAATTCACTGTTCTGTGATTCTGTGAATAAAAAGTAGAAACTTCCAACATCAGAGTGCCTTATATGATAGTTCTAGGCATTTTATTTAATGGTTGTCTCCTGGTTTTAGCAGCAAGGAGTTGGCAATAGGGAGTTCTTGTCTGAAGCATCCTTTGTTCCTGAGTTGGCTTCCCAAACTCCTTCTCCAAAGTTTTTATTTACTTAAAGTTCTAAAGCAGCATTGCCATAGTGACTGGGGAAGGGAGGTGCAGATGGAGCTCCCCCTTCTTGACTGCAAAGATGTGACTAAGCAATGCCACTCTTGTATCATTTAAATTCTGGACTATCTGAGGGCTAGGAAGTTACTTAAAACACACCTGTGTTTTCTCTGCATCTGTTTTTTTTTTTTTTTTGCCTGGTTGCAAAGACTATTTTTAAAAAGCCTGGCAGTTCTGGACAATATTTCCAGCAATAACTAGTTGGTTCCCCATCATTACCACTCTGAAACAATACAAGCATTACTAGTATGTGATCTGAGAATTTAATCTGCTGCAGATGAGGCACACAGCAGACAGCACCATGGACTGTAGAATAATAGAATGGTTTGGGGAAGGGATCTCCAAGTTCCAACACACCTGCCATGGGCATGGACATCTTGAACTAGGCCAGGACATTGTACAGGCTGTTCTCAGTGCTGATCTGCCAAGCCAGGTGATATTGTAAGCAGTTTCTCAGTTTCCTTTAAGTCTGAAATAGGCCAAATCTCTTGTAAGTGCCTCTGTGTATGTAAGGCTATATAGTGCTATTTTTATACTTTATCAAAAGCAAGCCCACTGTGATTTTCATGAGAACTTGAAGTGCAGATAGGTCAAGGCAGTCTCTAAACACACAGTCACTGCATACAGTGGAGCAAGTGACAGCTGCTCAGGCCTCTGCAAGCACATTATGGGAATGCTGCTGACCTCAGCTTATGTTCCTGGACAGCAGAGCAGGCTGTTAATCTGCTGTCCCTGCTGAGGGGATGTATGCCACCAGCAGGGAGCTTTCCTCCAAAGGGAGCAGCAAACAAACTCCCAAAGAGGGGCTGAGCCGGCAAGCTCAGCTCCCTGCCTGCCGTGCCTGGGGAGACCCACTGGGACCTCGTTTGTTGTTTTATCTCTGTGGATCTGACACCCCAGGCGGGCTGGGAGCTCCTGTTTCTCAGTTATTCTTAGGGATTTTGACACCTGCTGTTATTACCCCAGCGGTCATTTGCAGGGGGTTTAAATTCAGCATCCTTGTGCATTGTTCTAGAAGGCAGTTTCATCTGCTGCCCTGGACACATCCAGATCTAGTGAAAATAGAGGGAAATTTCCATTAATGCCATGAGGCTTCATCCTGGTTAAGCTTGGGCTGGTTTTCGCACCAGTTCTTTCTGGAGGAAACTATCAGTGATAATCAGTGCTGATCTGTAATCAACCTCACACACTACCTACTCTGTGCTGTGCTCCACATTTTCTAATTTTAGCTAAAAATAAGGGTTTAAATACTAACAGTAAAGGGGGTTTAACTGGGTTTCCTTTGAAGATGGAGAGGTCTAAATTGGCTTATAATAGTTTAATTTCTTATTCTTCAAAGAAGTCAAAATTCCTGAAGTTTGCATCAAGGATATTTCAGTGTGCTCATATTAAAACAAAACAGGTAGCTCCTTGCTCTTGTTTGCGTGGAAGCAGAGTTATTTCTACACACTGTGAGCTAAGAGAGATGGCACAGTACCTATAAAATGACATCTTGGGGAATTACCAAGTAATATCACTTGTTTTTCATCCTGAACATTATACAGTACAAATAGGAAATAAAGTATTATTATTGGCAGTGAGAGACGACAAGCCTTGGCTTTTTTGCTTGTACACAAATTGTTTCCATGTTTCATTACCCTCTAGAGGTATTCTGCTTCTTTCCTCTCCTTTGGGACAAAAAGAGGAACTTGAGCACAAAGTGTAACCCCTTCCACACCATCCTCTGTCTGACTGCAGAAACCTTTGCAGAAATTTAAAGAACTATCGTGATTTATCTGACTGTTCCTTTACTTTATATTCATGGAGGATTTAGAAAAACATCAGACAGGATGGAGATAATTGCAAGTGAATAATTACAAAGAATAGAAGGAGATAGATGGGTAATTACAAAGCTTCTCTTAGGGACAATATTGCTTGTCATTAAATTTGATGGACTGATTTTCTTTAGTATAAACAGGCAAACCTGCCTTCCTAAACACTTAGCATTACTTCCTAAGAAATATACATTTTGTTTAGGCATAATTAACTCATACTGAAAAGAATAAACATCTGGTTGGAATAAAATCTTGGGTCAAATTGATAAGAGTTACATGTGGATTACAGAAAGTCAACCACACAAAATTTTCATTCTCTGATTGAGAAACAGGGAAAAAATTAACTTGTTTGCTATTTTGATTTCAGAGGAGTGTGTTTCTTTTTTTCAGTAATACTATTTGTTTTGTGATGATTCCTAAGATGGGCTGACCCCAGGTTCTTACATCTGAGCAGTCAAAAACATTTGAGGAATCTGAACCAGGTGTAGATCAGTATTTTAAGTCTGGCTCCTTTGGACTGAAACCAAATCCAATTTACTTTCAAGACGTTTCAACTGCAGTGAGTACAACATAACAGCAAAGAAATATATCACTTCCAAGGTGCTTGAGTTTATGCTTGTGCTTTATACTTGTGGTTAAATCAATTCTCTGTTCTCTGCCTCTGAAACTGATAAAAATTCTGCCCTAGGAAATTCAGGGAGTACCTGCTCCAGGGCAATATTTGCTTGGATTGCTTGGCCTCAGTATTTAATCTGTGCTCCTCACTGCATTCCTGCTTGTTTTCCCATACAGTCTCACTGGGGCACAGGGCATTGAGTGCATTTTAGCCCAGCTCAGCAGGGTTGCTGAGCCATGCTGCTGCTCCCCAAGGGACTGGGGGCTGCCTTGGACTGCTGTGGGACACCCCACATTTGAGGC